AAGTTCAATTCTTTGTCCATGTAGTTTGATTTGATGATCTTTTCTTCCTTGATAATAAAGAAGACCATTGTTATCCATTGTAACAAGATCACCTGTTCGATAAAATAGTTGACCATCTATTTCAACAAGAGCTTTTGCAGTTAAATCATCACGTCCAAGATAACCAGCAAATACACCCACTCCACCGACAAACAGTTCACCTTCTTGATTGATGACTGATTCTTGTGAATATTCATTCATAATCATACATCGATAATTACAAAGTGGTAACCCGATCGGAATGTTCTGTATAGTATTTGTGACGTTGATACAATGAACTGTACAATCGATGGTTGCCTCTGCTGGACCATACAAATTCCATACAATACAGTTTGCGATACCAATTTTGACAATCAAACCAATTAAAGGAAGAGAAAAGGGTTCCCCTATAACAATTAAGCATACACTAAATAAGCAAACGAAATTTATTTGAAAATCACTCACCACTGCTACAAAGTGATCGCAGATGTTTCACGACATTTCGCTTGTTGTTTTGTTCAAGGGAAGTGAAAAAACTCAGTAGTAAACTTGGTACAGTGTGTAGATAAGTGATCTGTTTGCTTTGTAAGACTTCGGATAAATATCCGAAATCAATCGTTCCACCTGGATGAAGCATAATCAAGGCGCCTCCTACTAACAATGTACCTAGTATCTCTTGAACATGAATATCAAATGAACATCGTGTCATTTGTACAACTGTATCATCTTTATTAAATGAGTTACTATAAGTCAAAGAAGTGATACAATCAATAAAGTTCTTATGTCGGACTTGAACCTGTGAAAAAACATGACACTGAATGAGATATTAGAGACCTGAATGTCAACAAACCGCTTTAGGTGTTCCTGTTGAACCACTAGTGAAAATAATGTAAGCTATCTCTTCATCTTTAACTATCACATTTGAAAGGTATTTGTTATTCACATCACTATCCATATTAATGTCGTTTAATATTAAATCAATATTGAGTGATATAATATCATGATTGAATTTGGTCTTGGTTAAATAATGGATAAGAACAAGACGACTTTGTGTCTGTTGTAAAAGCATATGCAAACGATTCTCTGGATCTCGAAATGATAAAGGGCAATAAATACCACCAGCCATTTCAATTCCCATAATACCAATTATCTAGTCAAGTACAACCACATATTCACAGTAATTGTTACTCGTCTTAATTAACTTACCATCGATAGACTTCGTTCGACACATTGCGAAATAACCTCACCTGAACTCATGCCATATTGATCTAGAAGATGGACAGCTAACATCTGGACATAGGTAAACAGTTCAGCATATGTCAAAGATTGTTCATCCAATTCAACAGCTAG